GTCACAAAAGTATTCGAACGGTATTAATTATACTCGCCTTATTTTATATTAGTACATAGTCGGACCTCTTTTGGCTTCAATTTAATTTTTAATCGTGCTGGCATACTGTGCACTAGTTTTTCAATTGATTTCAATAGAGTTCTATATTTGAATAATTTTTTCCTTTAAGACTTTTTTGAAGTTATTTGTTCCTTCAATTTTCTCCCGTATTTTTTGAATATTTTTGAAAAGAATAGTACAAGATGCGTATAACTACCACACCACCGATTGTTGAGTTGCAGAAAATTGTTGAACAGTGGGACAAAATCGATCATTATTATTGCAGAAAGTTAATAGAATCAACGGCGAAGTGACTTAACCTATTTCACAAAACAAAAGGACTTTGGACAAAATATGAAACATTCTAAATTTAAAAAAACTATATTACCGAAAATGTAGTGGAAAACTGAGTCAATGAATATTTATTTTTATTAACAAGTAAAAAGAGGTACAAAATGTTTGACGACTGTTTATGTTATTTTAAACAATGTAAAATATCATTGTTATGATTATTTTTTGCTTTTCGTTCTTTATGTAAAATGAAGAATTACATACACGAAACCATTAATCATTCATTCAGTTTTGCTGTTTATTGTATATACGATACGTTAAGACTAAATACTTAATCAAAAAATTAAACGACATCTGAAATTTTGGATCACAATCGACCGCCTTTGAAAGTTAATAATACAAAATGATTGAATATAATGACATTATAGTAATACAATTTCTGAAATAATTCGACTATACTATATTTGGACTGGTCGAATATCAAATTTGTACAAAATGTGATCTGATTATTTGTTACTGCCTATGTTTCAAATATAATAGTTAACTTAATTATAAATTATCTTTTCTTAATCATCAATTGTAGTTACATAGCTACAATTAAAATTTAGGTGATTACAATGTCTCCCCTTAATAATTGTAGGTACTAACTTACAACTGAATCAAAAGTAATATTTCAGTCATTACTCTTAACACGTTCGCTGTCAACATCATATATTTGTGACGACCATAATTCTATATTTTACAAACGAAAAAGAAATTAATTTCTATTGATATTGTTATTAGAAATTATAAACTAAGACACTATATTTAGGAACTCGTTTTAGTTTCATTGTTTTAATATTTTGTTTAGAAGATTTATTGGATTGAAAAAAATATTATAATTGAGGAGACCATCACTAAAATAAACGCTGGTAGCGAACGTGCTAATGTGTAATCAGATGAAATTTTGCTAAACTCTACACTCGGATCGCTCGATGAATTTTCGCCGCACGACCGGCCAGTCGAAAAAGAAGTGAGAATGTGTCGGTAATATAGAGAGAACCGTACCGTGCCGCGCTGCGCCACGCCACGAATCTATACGAAAACCATCCATTATCACGTAAGCAGTCGAGTAGCGTGCATGCAATAGCGTCGCATACCTTCTATTTATACACAAGACTCGATGCCGCGACCGTTCAGTTCCGACTGCTCCGTCGATCCCCCCCTCCCTCCAGCGCTCATGCGTAAATGGGTATCGTTGCTCTTGCGACGACACTATTTGATCAACTTCGTTGACAAGAGGCGACTTCTGGAAAAAATGCGAATTTAATTTATCAGTTCTATTCTGTTTTCTTCTCATTTTCGATACTAATTTGCTATTCGTCAATGCGGTAACCAATCAAAACTATGAACAAAACACATAGCGAGAGCCCCCTCTTACCCCCGTGCCGTCCCAAAGCTCATCTCTCGTGCAATGAGAAGTACATAAGTAAGTAAATAGGTATTGCTTTGCTCGCTGATCTCAAATCTTTCATCTTTCATCTTTCATTCTTCATTCTTCATTCTTCATTCTTCATTCTTCATCCTTCATCTTTCTTTCTTCATCCTTCACGTTTTATCGTACATTTTTCAATTTACAATTTTTATCTTCCATCTTCCATATTCCATCTTTCGTCTTCTGTCTTCCCTCTTTTGTCTTTTGCCTTCCATCTATCATTTTTCATCTTTCATGTTGATCTGTAAAATTTTCTTGTTACGCACTATTGTTTAGGTATTTCTGTGAAACACGTTTTACTCGAAACGATTACGCGAACGGTGATATTACATATGTATTTATGTAGATTGGTATTATGTTTTTGTCGGTCCAGAAATGCGATACGACAGAAACGTTGAAAATGCAGCGGTTCAAAGCATTCGGCCACGCGAATGAGAATTCGATCGGTTTTACTTGCTTGCAAACATAGAATCGTTCCTTTGCATTTCATTGCACTACGCAGTTGGTCTACGCAATTGTATTTCTTGTTACGCGTAACTATTCTGTTTCACCTGTTTTTCGTGCATTTGTAAAAATGTTCCCAACGTGGCTATGAGTGCTATTCTGCGAGTTTTTATTGGTAAAACGCGACTCTAAGCGTTAAGGTACCAACAAGATATCGCAGGTCAGTTAACCTATTCCCTTCCCGCCTGTTTCTGTGAACATTCCTGGAAAATAGTGAACAAAATAAGGTGTGTCATAATATGCGAA